ATCCAATAGATCATCTATTTTGGACAATGGTTCTGAATTCTTCCCGTATAATCTATGCACAACCTCAATTCACCCGCTTTGGGGACAAACAGAACTGTACGATCAGGGACGAGCTTCGCTTAATCAACAGCCATTTCATCAAAACGGACATATATCTTATATTTTTTGAACGAAATTAAAATTGAGTTTTTGGGCCGAAATCCGGTCTAAATTTTTGGCTCCTGGGGTCCGGCCAACGCCGGACCCCCTATATGTATCTAGTCTCAGCCATACCCCTTCTCAACTAATTCATCTAACTTTTTGCACAGTTCTTCTAGCTCAGCAAGATAAATCCTCCTGTATCCCTTGGGGGTCTTGCTTCTTGGGATGATCTCTATCCTATGTTTAATCTCTCCTTGGGTCACCCCTGTAAGAGCGGTCTGTAATTCCGCATACTCTTTTACTTAATCTCGGATCAGGGGTGGTAACTTTCCTATCCTATGTTTAATCTCTCTTTGGGTCACCCCTGTAAGAGCGTCCTGTAATTCCACATACTCTTTTGCTTAATCGCGGATCAGGGGTGGTAACTTTCCTTTGCTGTTCTGAATCAGATCTGTTTTCTCTTCGTTCTTCCCCTTCGCGGTTATGGGTTATGGGCTTCACTAGAGCCATGAACGCTTGTTTAGTCAACTGCTGTTTGACAATGTATCTAGAGGATGTTGGTGCACACGACAGAACCTACAATACGTAGACTTCACTATGTACTATGTACTCGTTCACTGAGCCCAGTTTGTCACAACTTTCCAGTACTGGGTTATGCAGAATACCCGTATCTGGGCTGGTTGAAGGACAGGTTGCACAGTCCTCAAGGATATTTAAACCACCAGTACCACCAGTACTTCCTAAAGTCGTGCCCGTTAACGCTACGCGGTTTAAGGAAACATACGGGCCACTACAGGAGCGCCCAAATTCATCCAACTAGAAACGTTTCTACTCTATTTTTTTCCGCGGCCGATAGCTGGGCCAGGTCCTGGTGGTTTAACGTCGCAGACAGGACTTCGTGGCTGGGCGGGGTAAACGCTTCCCCTCAACTCTTAGACAGTCAATGAATCATGCCAGTGTAATTCATGGCATGCCGGTCAGTACCGGTCGCTCCTTCCCATGCTGCTACTCTGCACATGCCGTCGCTCCTGCACGTGCTGCTACTCTGCACACGCCGTTGCTCCTGCCCGTGCTGCGACTCTGCACACGCCGTTGCTCCTGCCCGTGCTGCTACTCTGCCCACGAAGCTTTCCACAACTGACTCTACTTATCTACAATATTCGTCACCTCCTGGCTGACTGAAGACCTACGACGACCAGCAGCAAAGTGGCAAGGAAAAGACCAGCACCAACCATTCAGAATTGACAACATGAAAGGCTAGGGTGACGAAACACTTCACTACAGCAGCTTGACGGAGAAGCTCCATGCTCGCCTGCTGTGGATATGGCTACCAGGTAAGTCTTCTTCTCCAGATCCGGCCTCCCCTTCCTTTGTCTCACCCTCGCCTTCATCCTTCACTTATCTGCGCTGTTCCCCTTACGTTTGAGCCTGCTGAAAAGAGGTAACAAAGAGTCTGCTCCGGCACTAGTTGATTTGAGGCCGACCATCCATGCACAGCACTCCTCACCAAGCTCGCACTATGAAACTCACGTAGGCAATTCACACGTGAGACGGAAATTCACAATAGTCTTGGCCAGTTAACTCAAGTACACAAGATTGACCAAGTACCGGGATGTGCGGCTATGGCCACCAAGCAGTGCTCTCTCTCTCTCTCTCTCTCTCTCTCTCTCTCTCTCTCTCTCTCTCTCTCTCTCTCTCTCTCTCTCTCTCTCTCTCNCTCTCTCTCTCTCTCTCTCTCTCTCTCTCTCTCTCTCTCTCTCTCTCTCTCTCTCTCTCTCACACACACACACACACACACACACACACAGACTGTGTCCAAGGACTCTCTCTGTGTCTCTCTCCTCTCTGAATACCTCTCTCATCTCTCTTCCACAGTTCCGCTGTACTTGATCTGGCTATGCTTACGTCCTATGTGCCCAGCACTGTTGAGTCGTTGACTACTACTGTCAGCCAGAATCACAAAATGGCGCAGGTTATCTCCAAGCAGCACTCCAGAGTATCTCCAAATAGCGCGGCAGCACGTTTTCAGTTGCACGTGTGTTTAGTTCATCCACAAGGGAGGCTCAAAACTGAGTTTTCATACGATGTAAGCACATGGCAATTCTCAAAGAGCTGTTTCCATGCTGTTAATTGCGCATTTACCACCAGCTCAAACCACACCTACAAAATCACGCATCACCCTGTTCCATTGGCAACAATAATCCGGTCACTGTTAATCGCACTTTTTGAACCATCTTCTTGGTGTTGCGATCTTCTGCTTGTTACCCTGCTCTACCACCGGTCACTGTAAACAGCCCGAAACAACCCCCTTTCAGACTCGTTTTCTAGGCGCTGGGGATCTGGGATGGACCAAACGAGGGGAGGGGGGGAGGGTGTTAGGCACGTGGCATGTTCCTTTGTTCCTTGCCCAACTTGATTTTTTTTTGCTGTTGTTTCTAGAAACTAAGCTATGGTCACCCAATTTGATTTCGTTTGAATCAAAGTATTTATTTCTTTTTTTCATTAGTAATTTGCTTCTGTCTGTTATGTGCAGCAATTGTCATCATCAAGCTTTCGTCGGCGATTGACAGTTCGGGGACCTGTCACTTTGTGCCCCCTTTTCTGATCCTCAGCTTCTTGAGAACTCGAACTCGGGACCTTTCGATTGGCAGGAGGAACCAGACATCGAACTCCAAACCTTTTGGCTGACCAACGCAAGAGAACCAGACATCTTCCCAGAAGGTGCGAGCTTCCAAGATGTCAATAAATTTTCAATAAATCCTAAAGAAATATCGGGGATTAAATAATAATAAATATGTATTATGTGGCGGATTCTTCCATTCACCGAGGATGTCGAGCCTCGGGGGCCATGATCGGGGCCTCGCTCCTTGTGTTCAGCGGGGACCACCTGACAGGCTGACAGGGAGTTCACTTAGATTCCATTAGCGTTGACCGTTGGCTCTTTTTCGGAGACCTAAACCCGCTGGCAGCAATCGTGGTGTTGTGTGCATAGACAGACCAGGCCCAGCGAAGGAGGGGGAAATAGTTATTTGTCTGGGACTGGGGGCCCAGCTGAAACATGTAGCGATCTTTGCCGGAGGGCTCGGCGCGTGACGTCAGCCTCGAGTCCACATGGTGTTCTTCATTTGACAATGTATGTAATTTACGGGCTTCGATCCAGTGATGCACAGGTTGTCCTGTCGCTGCATGTTCGTGTCATATCTGTTCTCCTCTCCACTTGCTCTGCACTTTGTGCTGTGATGGCTTATTGCACACACTGTCGACATATAAAGCCCAAATGCACTGTGCAACACTGCGAGCAAAAGACTGCCAAAAGTACATTATGATAGTTATAAGTATGAGGGCTTATCCCACACACAGTGGATATTGCTCTCACTGACAGGCACTGCTTGCACAACTACGTAGTGAGGAAGCAGTGGAGGGAGGGACGGCTTGTTGGGGACCAGAAGGAGAATAGTTAGGGTGAGGCAGAGTTTACTACGACTTCGATGGAAGGTGGAGTTGCTGCATGGTGGTAGCACTGAGAGAGAGGGAGCTATAGGAACTGCTTACCTCGCACGAGAGGTTCTGCAACTCCGCTGTTCACACGGCAAAGGCAAGAAGTCCGATAAAATAGAAGAGAAACTTCAGTCGTTGTCACATAGCTGTTTGTTACGACGGGTGCATAATTTCTCACTAGAGTGCGATCCTGTGCCCGTTGATTCGTTTCATCAACGGCTGTGGCTTGATCCAGCAACGTGAGAGTCTACTGCGGTGACACAGATCCTCCTGAAGGGCATTATCGACTGTCTGCATGAGTCTGCTGGACCCTTTGTCTATTTTTAGCGCATGCAGGTGGCGTACACGAAAGCGGTGGAGCATGTCAGCGTTTGATTTTCTCAGATTTTTTCTATTATGATGTGAGCGGCGATCGAGGAGCGTTTCAGATAACGTCACACGGCGGACATATGGTGTGACGTTTTCACTGTGACGGACATATGACATCTGCTTCTCGTCACAGTGTCCCATGCATGATACTCTGTGGAGCGGCATCGGTGTGTCGGGGAGATCGAGTCTGCTGTTCCTCCGGTTCAATTCGAACAGGCAGCCATAAGCAAGACGTTGGTTTTCTTCGTCTGTAGCATCAACTCCTGATGTGGTCGTGGACCATTAACAGCTGGCGGCTGCGATCGACTTCGACGCTCCAAAGTGTGTGAGAAACCTGAGCGTGAGGCGACTGGGGAGAGGCCATAATAACAGAAGAGAGGGCCGTACGCCGTACGGACGCTCGCACTGCCATGACGTGAGCGGAGAAGATCGGTTGGATAAAGTGCGTGGCGTGCATGCGACTTTGTGACAGACCGTTGTAACTGTAAATGACTGTGTGACAGCATGTGATCGGTAGTGCGGCCGCGAGAATGGCCTGAGGTTGAGATACGAGGTACTGGAATTCCAGCCAGGTACAAGGTAACAGGGTGATCGACATCAATTGCTAGCCATGGGTTTATTGTTTCTAACCACGGTTGATTTTGCCATGCCAACTCTTGGCTTCTCCTAGTCCCGCAGTATGAGAGCGATCGCCTGATAGAAGTATGAGAGCGATCGTGCGATAGAAGTATGAGAGCGATCGCGCGATCGAATCCTGGTTCCACGACCGCAGAACCGTAGTCCTAGCTAGGTTACAAGGTATGGAAGGCTTTGCTCTGGGTTTGAGAGACACTGGGTATGTGACAGATCTGAGGTGTGCAAGTGAGTGGGTCAGGAGTATGTAGATTTATATGAACTGGCGATGATGTGATGGTGGAAGCTAGCTGTACACAGCGATCGCGCGATCGAGTCCTGGTCTCGCGACCGCAGAACCGGCGTAGTACTAGCTAGGTTACTAGGTAGGGATCCCTGCTAGGTATGGGAGGTTACGCTCTGGGTTTGAGAGAGACTGGGTAGGTGGCAGATCTGTGGTGTGCAAGCGAGTGGGTCAGGCATATGTGGATTTTTCACTTTACGATGGTAGGATGGTGAAGCTGTACAGTTTCGCAGCTGCAGAGGTGCGATCGTATGCACATATATATACAGTTTTGTAGACGAAGCTCATGACCTGTATGAAGGCGTGTGCGGATCGTCCATCTACGCTCTTGTCTGGTATTGCTTCTCTTCGTTTTCCTTTGGTTCTTCTGCCAGTGGATGGTCTTTTCCAAAGGGGAAAGGAGAGAAATGATGAGAAGGGAGGTCGGTGGCGCGTTCGTGCTCACTCTATGAGTGAGTCGACTGCGGGCAATTGTTATTACATCCTAATCAGGAAAGTACAGAGTGCTCCTCTTGCAGAGGGGCCTCTTACACGCAATTTGCTGTCGGCAGCAAGCCGATTGCCAATTACAAAGCAACCGTACAATAATGGGAGGAATCGAGCGGAGTCCTGGAGAGAGGACGGGCATGGAGGATGTCTCTTTGCTCATTGGAAGGTCGGTCTCCGGTGCTCTCTTGCATCGACGGCTATGGTGGATCCTCGGTTGGGTGGTGGCGGCCATGACTTGTCTGGTTTGCCTGATCTCAGTGCAACACGGTGGCAATACTTCGCTGTATCTCAGCCGGTACAAGCAAGGAGCCGCCGCCAAGGCTGTTGCTACGGCATCATCCACCGCTCAGGGATTCGGTCACCGTCAGCTGGCTTCGAAGCAAGCCAACTCCTCGGCTCCTTCTCAGCCCACCGTTAGTCTACTTGAACCCCATCCGTTTGCTGTTGGGAATGGGCCCCCGGTTTCACCCGTTCTGATGCATCTGATTCCGGGGAACAGCACTAAACCCCCCCCAATCTACACAATCGCCAGGCTATCTCCCGACGCTTGCGCCTCTTATATCTCGAACATGCTGTTCGATCCTAGCGGCACCACGCTCTACTACATACTGGAGGAGCGATGTTCGAAAAATGGAAACCCCGAGAACGCAGCACCGACTAGCGAGAGGCGTTCTTTCAGGAAAGCCAATTTCAATCTCGGGACGGAACGGGTGCCAACCATAGTCCCGGGGGATGGAAACGATAGCTTGATCAGCTATTGGTGGACTGATGACGGTCCGAAGAATGCATCCGCCGTGCTGTCTGCGTCATCCGCCGTGCAGTCTGCGTCTGTGAAAAACCACACACAGATGGTTTCGATAGATGGAGTGGAATTGTCGAAAGATGGGCAATACCTCATTGTGCTTTCCTCCAACGACAACAACCCACCAGGTTTGCACATCCTGACGTCCGTATCAACAGCAACAGGGGCTCGAACCTCCGTCTTGCTGAATGAGCCGACGGCTTCCCTTCAAGGTTTGGCATGGCGGCCGAACACGACGCAGCTGTGCATGGTTAATAACAACGATAGCGCACCCTTGCTCGTTTGCGCACGTTTCGGACAATCTGTCGGACAATCGGGCCTGCCCAACGTCACGTCCTTGCAGACTACGGCTTCAGGCAACCAATGGAATGTGAGGGATGGCAGCGGTGAGATTACGTCGGCTATGATCGGCCCACTAAGCTTTGACAAGAACGGCGGCTTTCTCTTTTTCATCAGTAGTGAGAAGGAGGTGTGGTCCTTCCGAACCATCTGGAATGGTTCTGAGTCCTCCTCCTCCTCCTCCACTTCCTCCTCCAGTGACGAGGGGATCAGGTCCCTGCCCAGCGATCCCCATTGCTCTAATGCCAGTCTATCACGCATCGCCTACGAATATCAAAGCAACTACAGCTTGGATGACAAGTTCAGTTTCAACTACCTACAGGACCTCGTGGTGACCCCGGATGGCTGCAACGTCTTCGTCACTGACAAGAGTTTTCTTCACTGGGTTCAAGTCGACTCTCCTTGCAGCAAAGCAGTGCGCGTCCATATCGTGGCCACTTATCAGGGCAAAGGTCTACTCTCCGGCTTGACCCTTCGTCGTTCCGGCGGCAACCTTGCTCTCTGGGTGGGCGCAAGTAATGGCGACATATTCGAACTGCCAATCAACCAGTCCGCGCTCCACTCCTGCTCCTTTTCACCTCCTCCTCCTCCTCCTCCTCCTCCTCCTCCTCCATCCAGTGCGACTCCTAGTGTGCTCGCTTCTGGCTCGTCGGGAATGTCATATCAAACCAATGCAGAGTCTACTGGCAGTTCGCCACCATTGCCGTCCAGCAGCACCCTAGGGGTGCAGTCCAGCGATAGCGGATCTGGCATATCATCAGCGAATGCAGAGTACGGCCGACAGAAGTCGGCCCCATTGGTGCCTCTCGCGGTCGGACTGTCGTTAGGGTCTGTAATAGTGATTGCGTTCGCGGGTTGCTTTTTTGTGCTGTTGCGACGAGCCTGTCCTCCTCGACAAACGCATGACGGCGGGCACTACTTCACCGCTGCTCCGTCGTCCTCGGCATCAGGACCAGGGGGTAAGACGGTCTCACAGGCGCCGGTACTGCACTTCTGCAAGGAGTACACGCTGGCATGCCTGGCGGAGTGCACCGACAACTTCGCTGACAGTCACAGAGTCGTTATCAACGGACACATGAGCGGCGCCATCGGCGAGGTTTACCGAGGCGCCATCGCCGGGGAGGAGCTGGCTATGAAGGTATGGACGGGCAATCTGGTGGAGGTCAAGCGGAAGCAGTTCCTTGACGAAGTGAACTCTCTCTGCAGGCTCCATCATGCCAACATCGCCCATCTCATCGGCTATTGCCAAGAAGGAAACCAGAGTATCCTCGTGTACCCGTACTACAAAGGCGGAAGTCTGTACTCTCGTTTGCACACAAGGCCCATCTCGATGCCGCACAGCGGTAGTGGCAGTCTTCTTCCTCCTGCTCTGTCGCTGATTGAGCGCATGTGCATTGGATTCCAGATCGCCAAGGCGGTGCACTACCTTCACGACGGGGTGCAACCTCCCTTTGTCCATCGAGACATAAAGAGCAGCAATGTGCTTTTGACAGGTGAAGGGACGAGAGACGGCGAGGTGGAAGTCCGGGCCGTCCTTGCGGATTGCGGATGGGCGTCAATCTGTGAGAACGTCTTCGGCGTAACCCATGAGGAGATATCGAAGACGGCAACGTCAACTGGAACGTTTGGCTCCATAGCCCCGGAGTACCTCTTGGCTGCGCAGTCGTCAGAGAAGAACGACGTCTATTCCGTCGGTGTTATCTTGCTGGAAATGCTGACGGGGAAGAAAGCCGTTACGATGGCGCCGACAGGGATAGGATGCCTGCCACTGGCAGATTGGGTGCATCTTATCCTCAGAGATAGAAATCTGGAAGCCGAAGTGGATGGCGACCTGCTTGACCTTGTTCTAGATCCTCCCATGAGGGAACAGGCGGAGGGATCCGAGGCAGAACGTATGGTTATGAGATTGCTCCTCTTGGCAAGCCGCTGCACCGACGACGATGAAGCGGCCAGGCCTCCGATCGCCTCGGTTGCAGAAACCATTCGCTTGATCTTAGAAGGGGCCAATAAGCGCTCTCGCTTCTCTATCAGGTGAGAAGATTATGATGGCCATGATGATGATCATACTGATGGTAATGAGATGACGATGATGATGATGATGATTGGAAGTGGAGCGGGCGAGAGTGTGGACTTCCGATGCAGACGCTGTAAGATGAGGAGGAGGAGGAGGAGGAGGAGGAGGAGGAGGAGCAAGATGATGGTGATCATGATGATGACGACGATGATGATGATGAGGAGGAGGAGGAGGAGCAGGAGGAGGAGGAGGAGGAGGAGGAGGATTGTAAGTATAAGTGGAGAGGGCGAGAGATGATCGATGCAGATGCAGATGCAGGAGCGGGATGGGGATCGGTACAGGTGCGCGCAGCATAACCAGTCGATCAAGTTGTTCAGAAACTGTCACAGTCTGACACGGCTTGGGATGAATGAGGAGGAGGAGGAGGAGGAGGAGGAGGAGGAGGAGGGAGGAGGAGGAATATACTAATTATTCGTTCTTCAGGAATACAGTTGTGCATCGTGGTGCACATAAGAGTTGCCTTGCGCTCCGCAGTCCTCAACTGCTGTGTCTGAAGTCGAAGTCTGTGATTTTTCTGTATACTATCACGCCTGATTGCATGTGATGATTGCATTCCTCCCAACCTCATTTCGCGGTCCACGAGGCCTTGAATCTGCACGGTTGAAATTCCAGATGGCCTACACAAAGACTTCGCGTGCGCGTAAGAGAGAGGGATTGCTGTTGGAAAACTGAATGAGCGCGGCTGAGAATAGGGGAATAGACAAAGGCATAGGAAGGGAAGACAAAGGCATAGGAAAGGGAAAAGTTAGTGTGGAAGTGAGATACAGAAACTAGATACCGCCAGCCCTAGAGTTCGATGATGTGATTCACTACCTGTGTTGCTTGTAGAAAGATGGTGAAGTGCCGTGATGGAGAGGGATGAGGAGATGGGACTAGGTGCACACACATCGGGAGAGAGAGAGAGAGAGAGAGAGAGAGCGAGCGAGAGAGAGAGAGAGAGAGAGAGAGAGAGAGAGAGAGAGAGAGAGAGAGAGAGAGAGAGAGAGAGAGAGAGAGAGAGTGTTTCGCGATGGCGTCTGAACTGGAGAGAGAGAGAGAGAGAGTGTTTCGCGATGGCGTCTGAACTGTCGAGAGAGAGAGAGAGAGAGAGAGAGAGAGAGAGAGTTCTACGCGCTCTTTGCACGCTTTCTTTTTGTTTTTAATAATTCTCAGTTTTTCCCGTTTCCATTTCCCGAATGCGAACACCACCGCGATAAGATATCGTTATCAATGTATATAAGGCTATAGAGCCTAGACTCGAAAGGACATGTCAATAGTTAAGGCTGTCTACCATCAACCTTGTTGGGGTAAGACGTACATTGAGGAAGGTGCCAATTTTATTTTATTTAGGAACGAATCTAGGCCCCTGCCTGTTATTGCCTCTTTCTCCTTTTTTTTTTTTTTTTTTTGCAATCTTATTTATTTTAATTTATTGGTCCTCGTCCTTTCCTCTGGGTATATACCCAAGTCCATTTCCGTCCTTGTTGTCATAATAAAATATAAATCTCTCTCAGAATATAAATACTTCTCAGATTCTTGAGATGGACAGCGCAAGGGTCTACAAGACTATCCCTTCACCGCAACGAGTCTTTTTTTTTTTCCCCTTTTTTTTTCCCACTGCCACAATTCTATTCGTGATAACAGTGCCCAAGGTCTTTGGTGGTGGTGGTGGAATATTTATGTGGTAGAATATAAGTATATATATCGTCAAACAGAGCTGCCCGGTACACCGTAGGCAGAGAGGGATATATCGTCAAACAGAGCTGCCAGTTCAACCGTAGGCAGAGTGGGAGGAGAGGACAACATACAAGGGGCTGTGACAAACTGTTCCGTCGGAGTTTCACCGACTCATCAGGAGGCTGAACCCTATATACATATATATATCCACGTAGAGAATACATTATGTACTATGGAAGTCGTTGGAGTCCATCGAAACTCTCTGCTTGTTCCGTACATTCGTCCGGATACCGTCGCCGGGATGGACTATGCTCACGTCACTCGTCAGCTGGTAGGAAATCGACAGGGAGAGGTCTACCCATTTGCGTTCGGGACGGCATCAGCATTCGGGACGGCAGCATCTTTGCTAGCGATGGCGGCATCACCATTCGTGCGGAGTCAGTTTCTTACACCACCTTTTTCTTGAACTGAACCTGTTTATTTGCTTTCACACTGGTATCCGGTTTTCATTCTTTCTAGCTTTTGCAATAAATGGTGGTAATCTTTTGCTTGGATCAGGGCATGCTCACACTGGGGCTTTTCGTGGATGTCGCGCCTCCAAAGCCAGGTCCAAAAAGAGTCTGACGTGGTGGGAGTATGCCCGTTGGTGAGGTCTCGTTTGGTGATGCTAACCTTGACGGGGGGGGGAGAGAGAGAGAGAGAGAGAGAGAGAGAGAGAGAGAGAGAGAGAGAGAGAGAGAGAGAGAGAGAGAGAGAGAGAGAGAGAGATTGAGAGAGGCAGGAGAGCACCATTTGGTCAGGGAAGGTCACTGAAATCTGTCGTGAACTGCTGCATGAGGGGGACGTTTTGTTTCTTTTACTATTTTATTTTATTTGCAATCGGGGCTAGTGGAGAGAGAGAGAGAGAGAGAGAGAGAGAGAGAGAGAGAGAGAGAGAGAGAGGAATATAAGGATTGAGGCAGAAGCATCAATTTGGTTCACGGCAGGATGTTGCTGAAAACTTAGTTCGGGTACTGGTTGAAAATGAGCACACAAGAAGGGCAAGGAACACGACATGGCGATATTTTTATTTTTTTACTATTATTAATTACACTTTGTATTAGTCTTTCTGAAGTTAGCATTAGAAAACAAAATAAAAAATAAAAAATAAAAAGGGCAAAACTGTTTCCCCGGGCCAAGAACGCGTGGAGAGTTCGATCTCCCGAAGCAGTTCTGGCAAGGGTCAATATATGGAAGCGAGGAATATAGCAATCCTCCTAACCCCATTATAATCCGATTTTTTTTTATTTTTTATTTTTTTTGGCCTTGTTCCACTGCTCAACGATCTACATGCATTAGGACGCTTTCTCAACCAGGTGCATTAGGACGAGTCTAACATTTTGAATGTATATCGGGAGTCGGGATTATTCTGAGGTCCAAATACATGTGTCGTGGAGCGAGGCCCTTCGAACGGAATTCTCTTAGGGAAATGTTTCAGGAGGAGGAAACGCCCGGTCATTCTCGCCGCATCTGGCCCGGAAGTTGTGCCAAATACAGCTATAATGACCGGGCGTTCTATTCGGGTGAAGAGGGTAGCGGGGCTCTAGTCTTCCATTCGAGTATTTTTCAACATGGTTGTTAAAAAAAAAAATAAAAAAAAATGGCCAAAGTGTGGCCGTTAGATGTTCAGAATGAATGGCAGAAACCAGTCTAAGCCCCCTCTGGTGGGACTTAGCGGTAGGAACTGGGACTCGCTCCGGGGGGGACCTATTTCCACTGGAGCACGCTTTTCATTTCTGAGCATAGGTTTTCAGGACTCAGGAGAGTCCCACTGGAGCACACTTTTCATTTCTGCCCTTGGTCGTCTGAAGAAATCAAGGGCCACAAATGGAAAAAAGGCGCTGTCTCCCGCTGTGCAGTAGCCTGCTAGCGCCGGGAACTGGGACTCGCTCCCGGGCCCTGTTCCCGCTGGAGTACCTTTTCATTTCTGACCCTAGGTTGTCAGAAGAACACCGGAGCACCCCTAAGTCTTTTCATTTCTGCCCTTGGTTGTCTGAAGAAATCATGGGCCGCAAATGGGAAAAGGCGCTCTAGTGGGACTTGTCCCCGCTCTGCAGTATCCTGATAGCACCGGGACTGGGACTCGCTCCCGGGGCCTGTTCCCGCTGGAGCAAGCTTCTCATTTCTGACGGTTGGTTGTCAGGAGAATCACACTGGAGCACACGGAGCCTTTTCGTTTCTGACTTAGATTGTCTGGAGAAATCAAGGGCCACAAATGAAAAACGTGCTAGACCGGGACTCGCCCCGTCTGTGCAGTATCCAGATCCAGGGGCCGAGTCCCATTTACGCTGAGCTCTAGTGGGACTCGCCAGATCCAGGGGCTAGGTCCCATTTACGCTGAGCTGATTCTTCGTTCCTGCTGTCGATCTTGGTAGTCTACGGTCAGAAATTGAGAATTTGGGTAAAGTGGGACTCGTCCCGTCTGTGTAGTATCCAGATCCAGGGGCCAAGTCCCATTTACGCTGAGCTCTAGTGGGACTTGCCAGATCCAGGGGCTAGGTCCCATTTACGCTGAGCTGATTCTTCGTTCCGGCTGTCGATCTTGGTAGTCTACGGTCAGAAATTGAGAACTTGGGTAAAGTGGGACTTGTTCGACTTACGCTGATTCTTCCTCGTTTCCGGCTTGTTGATGTAAGTAATCTGTGGCCAGAAATTGAGAGTTTGAGTAAGTGGGACTTGTCCCCAGGTATTCCTCCCTTTCCGGTTATCGTTTCGTCACGCACTGGACTTTTGTGTGTGCCTGTGTGCCTGTGTGCCTGTGTGCCTGTGTGCCTGTGTGCCTGTGTGTGTGCGTGTGTCAGCAGGTTGCTTTGACACATACGTAACCAGAATAAAAAAAAATAAAAAATAAAAAAAGAACTAGCACATTCCTAATTGCATCGGATCGCAATTATGGCAAGAGCTGGATGAATCTGACCGCGATCATCAGAGCTTAGTAGAAAAAGTCCTACCTTCTTCCCCCGAATACAGCTAAAATGACCATATGTTGTATTCGGGGGAAGAAGGTAGTGTGAGTATATGCCCTGAGTGTTGGGTAAAAAGGTGTGGGTTGAGACTTGAATGACCACGCGTGACGTTGTGGTTCAGGATGTTCCTTCTCCTTCTGGCCCCAATTTGCACAGAAGAAATAATGGCAATCTTTCATAAGCACACACTCACACTGGCAGTGAAAAGGAAAAATCAATGCAGAAAAATCAAAGGCTGTTTTCTTAAAATAAAATAAAAAATAATAAAAAATAATAAATTAAAAAAAACATGCAGAAAAATCAATGCAGCCTATGATGGAAGGCCTTGTGGCTGCTAATGTGGTAATCTTCCCTCTCGGGCCCCCTGTTTTTTTTTGGGGGGGGGGTTTGACAGCCCCCCCTTTTCCTGGATCATGCTGTCTCCTTAGGGAAGCAATGGTATCAAAGAGGCGGCTATCGACTACCTTTGAAAGGAATGGAATACATGGGAAGGTTACCTTCCCAAAGTATGCCTTTTGCCCTTTTCAACCTCTCATTTTCTTTCTGAGGCATGCCCTATCTTAGCAGATAGAGTGTCAAAGAAGTGCTTTTTTGGCCAAGTGATCTGTCTGATATCAACCTGTCCTATGTCTGTTTGCTCTGAGCACTGGTAGTACTTGGAACTGATTGACCAGCCTTTTTTTCTTTTTTCTTTTTTCTTTTTTGAGGTTGTTGTTGGTGGAAGATTTTCCCTCCTTTCCTTTCCTTGCGACTCTGGGGCTGTCTGCTTTAACAAACATATTTGCGCGCTCGTTCGGCTAGCTTTTCGTTTGCCATGATTTCTTCTTTAACATATTAATTTTGGTGGCATTGCTCTGCGGAAGAGTTTGCGCGTTCACACGTGGTCCAGGCGTCGCTACAGTGATGCGAGGGTTCGTTTTGCATGAATTTAGACATTCGCGTCAGGCTGGTTAATCCCTTGGAATCCCCGCGCCTGCACGGCCACCCACACTTTCAGGAAGTGCTGGTGTTTTATAACATATTTGGTGGTATTCGTGCGATGGAGTTCCTCAAGGATCTGCTTGGAAGGGATTTCGCCTATGAAGGTTGCGTGTGACTTGCTTTGCAAAATGATGAACTTATTTGTTAGAACATTTCTGACAAAGACAATCAGTTTGATAGTGATGGACGGCCTTTTGCTGTGATTGAAGAGATGCCATTTTTGGCAGCGTGCAGTTGGCGAGATGGGGATTCTTTCTCTCCGACATCGTCGGCGTATGTCGGGGCACAGGTTCTGAGCTTATTAGATGATGAGCTTGCAGCCGCCTTTCCGTGGCCTTGTCGGTCCTTAAGCGATTCTGCAAGCGAACCTTTCAGAGTTGGTCTGCGAGCGATTCTGCTGGCGAAGTGGACTGATAAGTGTGCGCCGGTGCGGGACATTCGCGAAGAAGGCGTGCCCTGGACGCGTGGCCGAAACATGAGGAAGATGCGGATCGTGATCGTTTGTGGAGATTGGACCAAGAGTTGTCGGAGAATCAATGGCAGATATTGCCAGAGAAGCGATAATGGCAGATGTCTTCTTACTATGGCTTGAGCTCTTCTCTCGGTCTCGACTTGTTGCTCTGCTAACTTAAAGTTTGGATCTCGATCTGCTGCGGCTTCAGCGGCCTGCATGACATTGTGTGGCGGTGGCTCATTTTGGAGGTCCGGATTCTCACTGTCGGCCCTTTCTCCGTATCAGCCGCTTCTATCGATCTCTCTGGTAAGTTAGTTTGCATTTGCAATGGCAGACGTCTTCTTACTACGGTTTGGGCTCTTCTCTCGTTCTTTACTTGTTGCTCTGGCAAGTTTGGATCTGGATCTGCTGCGCCTTCAGCGGCCTGCATTTGTGGTGGTGGCCCGTTTTGGAGGTCCGGATTCTCCGACTGTCGCCCTTTCTCCGTATCAGCCGCTACTATCGATCTCTCTGGTAAGTTTGGATTTGCAATGCTCTCAGCCTGCAAGTGTGTTTCAAATTCCAATGGAACCAGCAAGTAATAACACTCTGAATTCACCTGGGGTCGGTCAGTTCAATGATGATATCTGGAGGCTGTTACAGTAGCCCTTTTTTCTAAAAGAGTGAAAAAGAGGGAGTGGTTGGTGGTGTTTCGATTGAGGAGAATCTGATAGGAGATAGGAGATAAGAGGTACTTTTGGAATCCACATGAGAGGTTCAGATTCTGACTGAGAGTAAGTGTTGCCCTTTCTCAGTAAAAAGTCACTTCTTTGGATCTGAGTCATCTGACTGCAGAACCCAGGGATTGCTTTCAGAATGATTCTGTCAGAGCAGAGGCTAGGTGGAATGTTCATGGAGTCTATGGTCGAGTTGTTTGCATGTAATGTCATGCTGGCCCCCAGCTGACATCATCGGCAAACAGCCCAGCGTTGTCGAGCTTTGCAAGTATTCAGGACTGTTGTGGCTGAGCACTCGTCCTCTTCTTGAGAGGTGGCATGCAGTCTGCTGAATCTCTTAAGTATTCGTGGAGCACTTGTCCTTCACTTCTCAAGTTTGATGGGATTGGT